TTATCTGTGTCCTTGGGTGATGCGTATCTGCATACAAGTTCATTGGTTAATCCTCCCCCGCCCCCCACTTCCCTCTGAATGACGCCAGTCCGTTGCATGCTTCCATGTCTCTGGATCTTTTTTGTTCGTTCATTTATTTTGCTCATTAGATTCCACATGCATGAGATTGTGTGGTACTTGTCTTTCTGCTGATTTCGCTCAGCATCACACCCTCCAGGCCCCTCCATGCCGCCTCGCAGGGTAAGCGACGCTCCTTTCCTACAGCGGCGCAGTCTTCCAGGTGTAAACGCGCCGTGTTCCTGCCCTCCACCTCGGGTCTCAGTGCGCTCCCCTCCCCGTCTGAGTCCAAATGGTTTCTCTCCTTGGTTGTACTTTTCACAGACGATGCTTGATGTTTGTTAACTCTGTACTGTCACCCCCTCCGCCCAGCATGTGAGCTGCATCAGGGCAGGGCCTGGGGTCTCCCGTCCGTCCCTGTATCCCGGGACCCAGCCCAGTGCCTGGCACGTGGAGGGCTCCCGGGAGACGTCTGTGGGATGCGTGAATGAAGGACAGTGTGGCTCATGTGGAGGAAGACTACAGTGAGGACGTACGTCACCCTGATCCCAACGGCGCTTCTCGGACTTGCATGGGGCTGCGTTAAGCTCCCGCGCCAGGGTTCCTGTTGCGACATGTTTGGGGGATGTTCTCTCTCTGGGAACTTGGCCATGACGACTGGAGAGGCCTGGGAACTGCCTCCCTCTTGAGCGAGGTTCCAGGCGCCTTGGCCTCCACCGTGGAGCAGGGACTGCAGGCCGTTCTCAGGCGTGTGTTCCTCTCCGCTCGGGGCAGGGCTTTTGTTCCGAACCCCAGAAGGAACACTGAATCAAGCAGCCAGTTTCAGAGGTCGCTCTGCCGATCAAAAAGGTTAAATAGGATTTGCTTCTTATAAAACCGGGCGGCCCGAGAGGCGGGAACTGCACAGGGGTGCTTGAAGCCTCTGTGAGCACAGCGGACGGAGCGAACCGCAGGCCGTGGGCGGCCCTCCAGGGCCTGCGGCTGTGTGGTCAGCTTCCCCCACAGCGTGCACTGCTCTGAATTCATGAGAAAGTCTGGGCTCCCCGGACAGCTGCAGAGACAGGGAAGCGGGGCGCACGTGTTTGTTTTCATGATCTGGAACCACGGCTTTCTACACGGCGACCCAAGGCCACTGGGAATGTCCACGGCCCGCGGGCCCCTCCCCTTTGCCGGCTCAAAGGTGGAAGCGTCTAAACAACCAGGGCCCTTTCTAGGGGGTTTCCAACGGGAGGCGAACAGCAGGCCGTGGGCGGCCTCCAGGGCCTGCGGCTGTGTGGTCAGCTTCCCCCACAGCGTGCAGTGCCCTGAATTCGTGAGAAAGTCTGGGCTCCCCGGACAGCTGCAGAGACAGGGAAGCGGGGCGCACATGTTTGTTTTCATGATCTGGAACCATGGCTTTCTACACGGCGACCCAGGGCCACTGGGAATGTCCATGGCCTGCGGGCCCCTCCCCTTTGCCGGCTCAAAGGTGGAAGCGTCTAAACAACCAGGGCCCTTTCTAGGGGGTTTCCAACGGGAGGTTCACTTATTTTTTTATTTGTAGAACTTTATTTTCTTCTATATAATTAGCTGAATCTATTAAGAGTGAATCGGGGAATCGAAGGGGGCAGGCGATTTCTGCTTCTTGCACACCCCAGCGAGGAAAAGGGGCAGGAGCCTCACTCTATTTTTATTTTTTTTTAAATTTTATTGGTTTCAAGGAGGAAGGGGGAGGAGAGAGAGAGAAACATCAGTGATGAGAGAGAATCATGGATCAGCTGCCTCCTGCACGCCCCCCACTGGGGATGGAGCCTGCATCCCGGGCCTGTGCCCTGACCGGGAATCGAACCCTGACCTCCTGGTTCATAGGTCGACATTCAACCACTGAGCCACGGGGCCCGGGCAGGAGCCTCACTGTTTGAGAAGGTGTCTCATTTTGTGGCCAGCACTGGCTACCACGGGGCTAATCGTTTTTTCTTTATAAGCACATACTTATCACCATAAAACACACGTACTTGTCACCTTAAAACACAGCTCCAACAGGGAGCCTCAGCGCTTGTCACTCTTTCCTGTGCCGCTGTAGAGGGTGGAGACGTCCTGCCTGGCGCGGAGCTTCCTTTCTCTCCCTGCAGCAGGCTCCAGGTCTGTTCAGGGCCCCTGTGCCCAGGCATCAGCACAGTGGGGGGGTGGGGGGCCCGCTGGGACGCAAACATTTTTCTTGTAAAAATCAGTTTGCAAGATCCGCGTTGATGGGATTTGCTGTGTGAAAGGTGTTTCCCTCTGGGTGTGAGACAAGCCGCTGATGCACAGTGCGCCTGGGTCGTGTTTCCTTCTGTCTGCGAGCGGTTATGACACGCGGCTCTGAGCCGCCGCCGTGCGGGGCGTGAACTCGGAACCCAGAGGCGCGGGCAGGCCCCCCGACCAGCTCAGCCCGGCTCCCGCAGCGGCCTTCACGGAGGAACAGAAGGCTTTGCGCTCCGTGTGCAATGTTTGCTTTCTGAGACCACCCCCCGTGACTCGCTCTCGTTCTCCTAACAACGCCTCTGGGATTCTCCCAGGGATTCACGGAGAGTTACATGTTTTCTGAGGAAACTGGTTAGAACGTAGTCGCTTCCGAGCGGCCTGGATGGGCGGGGGGGCTCCCATGGTGCCGCCTGCACCTCCTCCGTCCTCACCCCTGGAAACAGTTCCCGCGTCCTTCCCGGCTGTTCCACGCTTTCTCCAGGGGCGGAGTTTTTCTCCACATGGTTTCTTTCTGTTCTTTTTCTCTTTGCTCCTTTCTAGTTTCCTCCTAACACCTCTCTCGCACTGGCTCTGTTCCCGGATTATCAGCCCGGCTGATCCCTGCTCCCAGACCGCCCGCCTGCCGTTGCTTCTAACCAGGTTTTTCAATGTCCCGCCTGGCGTGGACCCAGCTGTGTTTCTTCAGAGGGTCACGCAATTCCGGCCCAAACTCTGTTCTCTTCCACTTTCCTCACCTCACAAAACGGGACCCTAAAGGCAAAGGGAATACCCCTAGGGCATCATTTTCTGGGGTGACCTTCAAATGTGCTGCTCGGGGCCCGGAATGCGCGGGGGGCGGGGGGCACTCCTGGTGCAGGCAGCGCTGTTGCTTGTTTCTGTGTTTCGGCACATGCTGGTTCCGACCCTAAAGTCAGGGACTCGGCTGGAGCGTGAACTCCCTTCGCAAGGATTTCCTAGATGAATGGAAACTGGTCATTCAAGCCGGGCCGGCGTGGCTCAGTGGTTGACCATCGACCTAGGAACCAGGAGGTCATGATTTGATTCCCGGCCAGGGCACATGCCCAGGTTGTGGGCTCCATCCCCAGTGTGGGGCGGGCAGGAGGCAGTCCATCCATGATTCTCTCTCATCATTGATGTTTTCATCTCTTTCTCCCTCTCCCTGCTTCTCTGAAATCAGTAAAAATATGTTTAAAAATGAAAGAAGCTGGTCACTTGAGTTGAGAAGGTCCCACAGAGGTCGCTGGGGATGGAGGTGACCGTGTGGAGGATGGGGCCCCTTAGTGAGGTGCTTGGGTGGGGAGAGGGTGACCGTGTTCTGGGTGCCCCGGGAGGCCTCCAGGGAATTGAACCCGTGTTTCCTGTTGCAGCATAAGAGAGAAACCCTGCAGATGACCAAGTACGTGGAGCTGGTTATTGTCGCCGACAACCGCGAGGTGAGAGCTTGAAATGTCTCGGTCGTAAGGCTGGTTTAAAAAAAAAAAGAGAGGAAAGGAAAAGATATTCAGTAGGTCACAATTTGCTTTAATTAACCTCCTTTACTCCGGGCCCTTAAAGGCATGTAAACAAGTCACGGAAAGGGGGCTTTCTGGTAGCGTCAAGTATAAAAGATTAAAAATGGGTCTGAAACTACAAAATAAAAGCCCAAGACTGGAAAGCAAACAAGGAAACTGTTGCTCCATCGCTAAGCTCTCCAAACGGGGGTGGGGTGGGGGTCCTTTGGGGAATCCGCAGATGGCGTTAGAATGGATTCCTGAACCGTTTGGGGGGAAAGCAGCGTTAAACATGTCCGATGTGTCCTCGACCAAAGTGAAGGCTCGAGAGGGACAGGGACGCGGCCGGAAGCCCTGCCTTCTGAGCGGGGCTCGGGGCCACGCTCGCTTTTCCTCTGAATTGATTTTTAATTAGACTTTTGGGGAGTTTCTTCTCCGTATTCCTTTCGGCCTCTGCTGCGTGTGATGAATGAGGTGCCATTTCCTCGGGGCGCAGCGCCGGCGGAGGGAACTGGCTTGACCGTTTCTCAGAGCCCGCCCCGTCTGGAGGTCAGCCGAGGGGCGATTCATTAGCTTGTCATCCCCTCCCCTCCGGGTCGCGGACTTGCGGCCGTGAGCGCCTGTTCCTTCACTATCTAAGTTTAAAAACAAATAGGAAGGACTTTGCGAGGAAGTGAACATCAAGTGTGCTTTTGTGAACCAGTGTCACCCCAATAAATCCAATTTTGAAAACCCCAAGTTGACGATCTGAGAAATGGCTCGGGGCTGCCTGCTCCTTCGTTGTCTGTCTTCCCTTTACCTAAACCCGTGGTCGGCAAACTGCGGCTCTCGAGCCACGTGCGGCTCTTTGGCCCCTTGAGTGTGGCTCTTCCTAAGCCTGAGGAGTACCCTAATTAAGTTAATCACAATGTACCTACCTATATAGTTTAAGTTTAAAAAATTTGGCTCTCAAAAGAAATTTCAATCGTTGTACTGTTGATATTTGGCTCTGTTGACTAATGAGTTTGCCGACCACTGACCTAAACAGTGGCTGCCCGTCACATATGAGGCTGAGGCGAGGCATGAGTTACTCAGTTACGTAGGAGCGCTCCGTGGTGTGGCGAGTTTCGGGGCGCTTCGGGGAGTCCCAGCGGGAGGTTTCTGGGGGGATGGGGCTCATTGCCCAGGGAGCTGGGAGGGTTTGTGAAGCCTGAGGCTGCGCATGCCCAGGGACTGGGAGGGAAGAGGAGCTTTGAGTGACACGCTTGCTGTGATTAATGCTGACATCTCAAATTATGAAGTTTCAGAGGCAAGGAAAGGACCTGGGAAAAGTGAAGCAGCGACTAATAGAGATCGCGAACCACGTGGACAAGGTACGTTCTTTCCCGGGCCATTAAGTCACTCAGATCATGTGAATGTTTGGAAACCAGGTGAGAGATGAAGCTCACCTTATCCGTCTGAGCAGGGAGCCGGGGTCAGGGCTGGACCGGGGACTCCTGTCCTGGGAGCACAGAACCGCGGGGCCCGGAGCGGCTGCAGGAGATGCCGCCCAGGCTGCCCGGACTGCGGCCTGGGCCACATTCCTCTGGGCTCCCTGCTGGCTGGGCAGAGCCCCAGTCCCGGCATCGCAGGCTCCCAGTCAGATCCAGAGCCATGGCGGGTGCATCCACCCTTTGGGGAACTCCTAAACCCGCCTCTCCCTAAGCCTCCCCAGGAGGAGCCCACGGCCCCCACATTCCGCTGCCTCGGCCCCGCCCCATGCCAACGAGGGCGCCACCGTCTGGGACATGGATACTGATCTTCAGCCCAGCCAGCAGGCGGCCAACCCTCCCTGAGGACCAGGAGGTGACAAAGGCCAGGGCAGAGCTGGAAGGGACCCTGGGAGTTGGTCTAACCCCAGGGCCTTTGACCACCAGAGGTCCTCCCGCTACCTGTCCCCAAGGAGGTGGGGACACTGTCTCCACCACGTGCTTCAGCAGCACACCCGCACGAAGCACCCCTGACGGAGCCC